TAAGAATTATTCTGGACATTTCAAATTTTCACCTGCCCCCCCCCTCCACCTAACGTATTGTAACTGGCAAAGTTACCAATAATAAAGAACCGACGTCTACAGGACATTGCTATCTTAATGTATAAAGTTAAAAATGATCTTTGGCCATCTTATGTCCAAGAATTATTATTTGAAAAGAATATAATAATAGGTATAATCTGAGAAATAGTGATTTTGGGTTTAATACCGTTTCTTACGGCAAACATAGAGTAAAAGTACCTTGGTTCTATGCTCTGGTCCCAATTAGATAAAGAAATAAGAAATTCCAAATCGCTAAATAGTTTTAAGAACAACATAAGAAGAAAGGATCTTGAAGCGTTGCTGAAGTACAAATGTCACGACTGCCCTAGTACTGATGACTATTGTAGTTTTTAAGACAATTTTTGGGGTTTATTCATCTTAGATTTAGATTGTAAGTAGCAAATGTTTTTTGAATTTATTGATTATTTAATATTAAGAAAAGTGTCGGTGCGTTTTTCGCGCGGGTTTCTGGTTCGCTTGGACGGGTGGGGGCCGGGTGGGGGCCGGATGGTTGTGGTACGGGTTCTCCTCCCTTGAAGCTGGCGGTTCGGAGTTCTGCGTGAAAAACGCACCGTATATGATAATTGTATATGTTTATATTATGCATATTTGTTTCTCTTTAGATAGATGTCCCATGCAATAGGTCCTTTACAGTTAACGGTCACGTGTCTGTACTGGTGAGCAAAACTTAAATTTTTTATTTCATTTTAAATCGGTGATTCTTTTTAGCTACTTGTTAATAACTGAATGGAGCGATGTGTAACCAGTGTGTTACGAAATGCAGCTCTATTACGATCTCTCGAAACAGGTTGTAGAAAGTTTGTTTGCTCACCTGAGCATATTTCACCCATGGGAATCAAGATGTTCATTCATTTGCTCTCAGTGAATTAATAAGCACGTGATTACTGAGTTGCAAAGCACCTATTATAGCCTACTTTAATGTAAGCTAGATATTTATGACACATAGATAAAGGTTATTACATGTACTATTATCATTACACATGGTCTACAATCTTTAAACGTATTACTCATGCACCGAACGGCATCAGAAACCTTCCTAGTTTTTATTTAACAGTTTCAAAATAAGATAGAATAAAATGCTGATTATAAAACTGCTATCAAGCTAGACTGTAAACGAAAGTGCTGAAAATTAGCGAATATCGTTTAGTTACCATGTGTTTTATTACAACCTCAATTGACTCTTTGTATGCGTTGAACGTGGTCAATCTCCCTCGATAGCTGACACAAGGCACAATAGTAGCAGTATTGAACTGTTAGGTAGTCTTTGCACAGAGATCCCTAACGAATGAATGTATATAAAAATTAAATACGAATTAATAAACCTCGTGTAGTGGTTAGATAACGCCTAAAAAGGATTTTGAGAATCCACACCATAGAGGTTTTACACAGATCACTTTAACATTCATACCTTGATGTTTTGCTCAGCTCTGAATTTTATCCTGAGGCTAAGAAGAGGAAAGGGGCAAAAATAGACAAAGCATCTGCCCTCTCCTAGACGTTGAGAAATCTCACACAACATATAATATCCACAGAAAATCGCATACCAACCTTAAACGAAGAAAAAACTCGTGATATATAATTGGTTTCAAAACAGGTCAACTGTAAGCCCTATAGCTAACCATGAGCCCTGTGATGCCCTCCCCTTAACCCTACGTTTGTACCACGTCCATTTTGCCCTGTACCCTGTGTCCTATACATTATGACCTGTACACCCCTTGAACCCAACTTTGACCCTGCCCCTTGTACCCACTGTGACCCTGTGCGCATTGCCCCTCTATCCTGTACCATTTGCCATGTGCTCTTTATTCTCCATGCTGTGCCCTGTGCCCCATATCCTCAATCCTGTACCCTTTGCCCTATATCCTCCATCCTGTAGCCTGTGCTGTGCCCTATATCCTCCATCCTGTACACTGTACCCTATATCCTTCATCCTGTACCCTGTGCTTTGTATCTTACATCCTGTACCATGCATGTTCCCTGTGCCCTACATCATGTACCATGTATATTCTCGTCCTGTATCATGTGCTTTGTTCTCAGTACAGAAAGAAAGTTTGTACACTTACAAGTGCCACAGTCGTCAAAGCAGCCACACAATCCCGTACTCCACTCTCGTGGGGCAGCACGGGCAGTAACAGGCTGCTGGTTGACCATTATCACGTTTGTATTGGTGGTATTTTGGGAATACATTGGTGCCACTTGACCATGTTGCATCATCATTGATTGACCTTGCTGCATCATTGGCTGACCTGGCAGCGTCATTGGCTGACCTGGCTGCGTCGTTATTGGCTGACCTGGCTGCGTCGTTATTGGCTGACCTGGCTGCGTCATTATTAGCTGATTTTGCTGCATCATGGGCGGAGCCTGAAGGGGGAATTGTTCTGGAGAAGACTGCTGATTCTGTGATTCACTTAAAGTTGGCTCTCTTGACTGATGAACTACTTGACTATAACTGATGGAGAAGGAGAAGAAGAAAAGAAAAAAAAAGAAGAACGGAAAGATGAAGAAGAAGAAGTTCGAAAACGAAAAGAAAAAGGAAAGCAAGAAGATGATGCAAGGAGGAAAACAAAGAAAAGCTTTAGTTTGATTCCAACAAAAGTTTCTTTCCTTTTCAAGTTAAGCTTGCTTTCGTCCGACGCATGCACAAGATAATGTTTCTCTCTGAGGATCAATCTCGTACACGTATTCCTATTTCTTACTGCGCATGCTCGACGAGCATGCTGTGTAAGAAACAAATTTAGATTAAAGTAAATGGAAAAAAAATCGGAAAAATTCAATAATTAATTTTATAAAATTCGAGATCAAGATAATATCCACCTTAATGCGAAAGAGTAAAATACTCAAAAAATGCACTAGAACATTTTTTTTCGCGAGCGCCTTTCTTTTACTATATAATTTCCCAAAGACTTTTCAAAAGAATTCCGGCTCGCACAAAAAAATAAGCCCTCGAAAAGAAAGTTCGACTTCGGGAATTTTTGGAGGAATTTTTGTAATAAAAACCTGGCCACCGTACTTTTTGAGTTGAATGAACGCTATTGGATGTATTTTACAAGAGAAAATGCATGACATAACCGAGGTCAAGCTAGAAAATCGTCTCTCCTTGAAATACAAGAACCTTTCAAAAAAACAGAAATGGATTTGAGAACCCCGGGCTTTCCTGAGTATAATTCACAGAAAATTTGTTATAATTTAGGACCGTATTTTTGCTGATTTTATAAGCTTATACTATCTGTTGGCTATACATTTGCCTACTTATTATTTCTTAGGTTTCGTAATCTCGGAAACCCGCTAACTACGGTTTACTGGTCATTTAGTATGTTGTGTCACACAGTTTACTTTTAAGAACAACCTTTTGCTTTGGAAAGAGAGGAAAAAGACCGAAAAGAGCAAATATTCCAAATGTATGGGCAACTTTTTTCTAATGTATAATCATGCTTACAGAATTTCCGGTTATTTAAGCTTATTATTTTGAGTTCATGTTTTACAGATTTCGAGTCCAGTCCATGTTTTACAGATTTCGATTTCAGTCCAGTCAATGTTTTACAGATTTCGAGTCAAGACCAGTCCAGTCCAGTCCAGTTCATGTTTTACAGATTTCGAGTCAAGACCAGTCCAGTCCAGTCCAGTCAATGTTTTACAGATTTTTCTCAGTCCAGTCCAGTCCAGTCAATATTTTACAGATTTTTCTCAGTCCAGTCCAGTCCAGTCAATGTTTTACAATATGCTATCTACAGTTTTAGAAATAGAAAAATCTTACAAAGCGACCGTTTAGATAACGCTGTCAACATTATATTCTCATAACCTTATTAGGTCATGGAACATCTGTCCCTTATGAGCTATTACTAGAAGTATCGCTAACGTGTCTATTTAAGATGCATCACACATCTGTCAAATCCTCGAGCTCTTGGACAACAAATTTTGCTCAATTTTGCTAGCTTTTCTACACATTTCGACTGCTTATACTAACCTGGGATAACCTGAAATGAATGAAACGCAGAAAAGACAAGGAAACTTGGGAGCAGTTTGAAGCCAGGGTTAACGTTGGTAGCAAGATTATTCAACTTCCAGAAACTAGCGGCAACATAGCTAAAATACTTCTTCTTCCATTGCAAATTATATTTAGAGACTGATATATTTATTTATATTTAGAGACTGATATATTTATCTCTGCTGAGTATCTCTTTTGAAACCCAGTCTTTTCCGAACGTTATCATTTTCTTTCATTCGGCTTTTCGTAATTGTCAAGATTTTTTTGCTTTCAGCATAAATAGATATTAGCTTATGAAATGTTATATTAAATAAATTTCTATTTCATTTTTAATCGGTAATCAAATTGATCTCGTACGTTTTCATGAGTATTCAAATTTAAACAGTGAAATCAAAATTGGTACAAAGATGGCATTTAGATTGCAAACAAAAACAAACTTTGCAAATAAAGTACATGCAGATTTTACACTAAATTTTTACGTGAAAATGGAAGTAAAAACCGAATATACTAAGAAAATATGGATGATAACGATGGGCCACCTACTATGATGAGACAACAAACAAGGGTCGTCTGGCTCTTTATTTCTCGTTCTTGTTATGTCTCGTCGCTTTGCTGTGGCACATTTGTCACCTGCGCTTTTCTTCTGCTATTAAATCTTTTTGTGTTACTGGCTGAAGCTACTGAATAAAATTATCAAACTTTGAAAACCTTACAGTTTTTTTTAGCCTGTAGTCATTTCCTTGAATGTAAAGCACTTTTTTCATAAGAAATACTGTAAAATAAAACTAAATTAGAAAAAATGCACTAATTCTTTAAATGAAATGAATATATATCGATATATCGTGTGCATTATGGGTAATTTTCAATTTAAATAACGTTTTAATAAAAGTTAACTACCATGTTTTCGGTGAAATATAATTAAAATATACATTGTGAGCATTAATACTAGATATTTGGCTCACTTTTGGTTGAAAACCGTTAGAATTAAAAAATCTGGAAATCTGGAAATTAGTTT